GTGATCTTTTTCTTGACGTCATAAATGTTTGTTGAATAGACATACATCGATTTTCCTTTAATTCCCATCACATTTAAAAGATTTGACATTCTGACCAGGTGGTCTATCCCTCACATTCTTCCTTTAATTTATTTTCTTCCTTAAATTTATGTAACTTAGATGCAGTTCATTTAAATATAGTTTCTGGTTCGTTCATAGTCACCATCACAGTAGTTTATATACGTTTTCCCATCTAAATGTATAAGCAATTGTTCTTTGCATGCAGTAAAGCACACATATTATAATCTGTAACATTATGTAAAGAAAATAGCCATTATAATTTTACTTACTTTTAAAAAGTATTCAGCAACAGGTATAGAAAATTTCCTTTAGTTTGTTGCCATCACTGTTTGCTTGTTTTTTTGTTTGTGGGCAATGGAAATAGTTTTTAAAAAAAAAAAGAATTACTTTTTCTGGAAGAAGTCATTTTTTAACATGAAGTTCATATTTTTAACTATCATGTAATCTTCTAACACCTTAAACTTAAATCTTTATGTATACAATTTTCATGGAAATTATTAGTTTAATGCTTATAATTATATTTATTACTAAATGTATGTAAAGTGTGTTATTTCTCCTGATATGGAACATTTTTTACTGTAAAAACTTCTGAAATAGCTGTTTCAGAATGTGGTGGAACTCGATTTTAATACCTCGTCAATGAAATTTGATTATTGATTTTTGTTTATTCTTGCGCAGGAACAACCAGGGGAAGTTGGCAGAGAACCTAGTGCTTATGAAACCTATTTCCCTGATTTGCTGGCCACATTTACTGGAGGGTTGTTGGCAGATATGATAACTTATCCTTTGGAGACAGTCCTGCACCGCCTCTATGTGCAGGTAAATGTTTTCATTGTACATTTTTTTAAATTTTTTTATAACTTTTAAATAGCACAACATTCCTGCTTGTAGCATGCTCAGAGTGCTTAAATCCAATTTCTTTAGTGGAACAGTGGTGGAAGGGGAGAAAGATTTTCGTGCTGCCTTTAGTAGCTTGGTAAACACAACTCGAGTGTGAAGTCAAACTCAAGCCCCCATGATAGGTAGCCAAGTTGTTTAAAACTCTGTTCATGTCTGACTTGATTGTTTTATTAAGTCAGCTATTGATTGACACATATTCCAGAATCACAACTTTCTAATAAGTTCAAATAAATCTTTGATACTATTTAGTTAAAATGAATTGTACTTATGAGATCATCCTGTTATCTTTGTTCTAGTTGATGTTACATTGGCATTGAGTTCCACTGGCATTGTGTGTTATGAGCAAGAAACCCTAATTTTCTCTTCTCTTTTTTTCTAGTGCAGCTAATTCTTTGTTGCAGTATTAAAACAATTTTCTGCACATGCTCATGTCCTTTAACCTCTTGCTTTTTGCACACAAATCAAACTTAATTGTATCTTGATGAATTAGTCAGGCCCAAACCAATCACAAGAACAGAAAAACTTTTACATTTGCTTAGAACTAAACTTTTTGTTCATTTCGCGTTTTTAATGTTTAATCTTTTGATGTATAAATATCTGAAAGTTTTCTTTCTGATCCATGAGGCGGATGATGAAAAACTCATAGTTTATATGACTGTTATAGGGGATGTGATGTGGCCAGCGCAATGACCAATTTCCTTTACTTTGCTAAATTTATGTCATGTACCAATGAAATTTTTGTGGACTCAAGGGTTTCATCAGAATCCTGAAGTTAAAAAATGCAGTTTTCACCAGGATTCAAACTTAATACCCTATGGTTCAGAAGTCAAGTACTTTACCAATTAACCATCACAACCCCCTATATATGTATTATAATTAATTTACTTGTTTATATCTTTACTTTTAAAACTACTAGCTATATCCCTGTACAAAAGCCTTTTTACACAATGATGATGATCTTAGAACCTTATTGACTAGTAAAATGCTGAAATTTTGTCTTTGAACCAGGGCACTAGGACTATAATTGATAACACTGATACTGGGCTAGATGTCATACCAATAAACACACGCTACGAAGGCTTTCTTGACTGCTTCACATCGATTGTCTCAGAGGAAGGGCTGCAAGGCTTATATCGTGGATTTGGAGCTCTAGTCATTCAGTATTTAATTCATGCTCTCATACTAAGATTAGCCAAGTTTGTTTTTGAGAAACTGTCCCTAGAGTTGAATAGGCGAAAACCAAACCCTAGCAGACATTTACGCCCCTGAAAAAAGTAAACTTTATGCTCTAAATCAGAATCAGTCATTGTATGAAAAAGCTAATATTTAAGCCACCCATTACTAGGTGGGAAAAAAAAGTCATTACTCTTTGGTTGCCTTAAATATGTATTACCTTCTCACTTCCTTGCGTCAGTCATTCCTTCAAGCAAAGAAGAAATATGATCTGTTCAAGGTTTAGTCACTTTTAAGGGACTCCCAATGCAAGTCTGTTTAGAAATATCCTTTATTTATTTCAGGAAGTCCATATAGATCTAGTTAAAAACAATTTAAATAGCAATTGGCTGATACATTTATCAGTTTGTAAACATTTACAGAATAAAGATATGTATGTCAAACAATCTTTTTTTTTCCTGTTTTTTTCAAGGCTTGTTGGTTACATTTTTGATATAATTCTTGTAATAGTTCTTTTATAAACATCAAGTTAACAATCAAAAGTTGTTAGAAGTTCATTGTTCTTGTGACATTATGTTTGGTTCTTGTTTCTATAGATCTAGACATTGAGCAACAAAACTCAGCTGACTGTCGCTACAGAATTTTACAGAATGACTTAAGCGTTGTTCTTGGATTTTGTTGTGTTTTTTGTTTAAAAATCTTAGAATTGAACTTCATACATTTTGACAGCATATTTTTACAGGAGGAAAACAATTTAGCCTGGTTCAAGTCCTTGGTGGTGCCATTGTCTCATGATCATGTCATTCCAGAAGTTGTTGAATGTAAGAGAAATATTTTTGTGTTTGTGTTGCGCCAGTTTTTTGGCCTTGGATTTTATTATTATTTTTTTTTTAAACCTGTGTTAATGAAGCCAATAGATGTATCTGTTTTACTTAGCACTGTGTAGTAGATGGGAAACTAATCACTTTCTCTCTAGTTTAGTCAACATTCAGCTTGTAGCATTCATTTGTATATGTACGGTATGTAATAGTTTTGAAAACTAGAACTCTAGTTTTAACAGAGAACTTTGTAGCAAATTGGAAACTTTCTCTCTGGATCAGTCATCAACATTCAGCTTTTAGCATTGATTGATATATGTATGTGATAGTTTTAAAAATGATGTCATGATATTATGGACATATTGTAGTTGTGTGGGTGGTTTGGGATGTAGTGCTGCAGTTTTCATTCTAGGAGCCTTTAGTTTGTTTTAATTTAGTGTTTTTAAAGTTAGATTTAAAATAAGGCTTATATTATGATGAAATTGTCACTAATATTGGGCTCAATGTTAGATCATGGAATGGGTTGCTGATTCAATTAATTAGCAGTTTAAGGGTCTCTAATTTATACGTGCAACTAGATTAACACCAGGGCATGGTTTGACATAGGAATTAATAACATCTTGTGAAGAAACGTCTGTAATTTATTAGATAAGAAGATATGAGATCTATTTATTTCTAATCATATAGAGACCTATTTTCTTGTGTCTACTAACCAATTCTTAAAAATTTTTGAATTTTAATATAGAAGACCATGAGGTCAAACGCATTAATGATTTATTTCTCTTGTATGTTATATAGTCATTGCTGTTGTTATTTTTGTGCATCTTTCATTAGATATTTATTTGGTCTTTTTCCCTTTTAATTAACCCTGTAATTTATGTTCAATCATTTTCAATGTTGATTGGTTGTCATTGTTGCTCGTTAGGTATTTTTAAACAAATATTTTCAGAGCTTTCACTGTATATTATTGAAGTCTGGTATGTAACACTGGAATCATACTGTACAATTGTAATAAATACCAAAATGAAATGTTTCACGTCTTGTTTAATTGATCTTATCAGATGAAAGTATGTTTTCAATATAGCAGAGAAGTGATGAGTACACTTCTTCAGTGTCATAGCTTCATACATAAAATGATTTTGAACACACTTGTCACTTGCTGTTATGTAATAGATGAGGAGCCATGTCGAAAAAGATTTCTTAATATTTCTTGTGTGTTTATTAACAAGCAAAATTTTTTTATTTTTTTTTCGACTTGTCAAGCTACTTTGATGATTCTGCAACAATTTTATTTATGCAAAGTCAGAAGTGGTTGAGAGTGTACATGTACCTAGATAAAGTTTCTAATCAGGCTCTCTAATGTTGCTTGATCTCAATAAGGCTTTACTATGAGTCCAAAAATCAATTACGAGTGCAGTATTTCCCTTGGCCATGCAGTCGCAGCTGCAACCTACATATTTCGCTATTTGATCTAATCAAATGGACAAGATAAAACAATCCAACGCAATAAATTTTTTTGACCTTTTCAAACAGGAGCTTTCATTATGGAGAACAGACTTCGGAAGTATTGCTAAGTTATGTTTTTTATAACAATTTGTTTTTCACTTTTTAGACCATAAGTTTTAAATTTTACACTTGTAGCGTTAATTTTTTAGTTAGCAGCTGTGATCTTTGAATACAGCGCCGTTGAAACTGATTTTGTATGTATAGTTTAAAATAACTCCCAGTCTTCCTATAATCCATTTCTAAATTGTTTGTTTAGGTCCCACAACATTATGTTCTCATTTTTATTTCATATTGCTTTCCTTTTCTATCATACAATATTTGACATCAATCTGATCATAACAATTAAAATATACTCAGCACATTACTGGAATTAAAGTATGAAATGTTAACTGTATGAATTATATTGTTAATGTCAGGAAAATAGTTTACCACAACCAATAGACACAAAGCCTTTGTCTCTCGTGAAACAATTTCATTTCTCTTTCTAATTGTAAACATAATTACACAACTATGACAGTTAACAAAAATTCAGCGCAAAAATAGTTTTTTAAATATAAAATTTTTAATAAATTACACTAGAGAAAAAAAAAGACAATATATCAATAACCTTATTTTTAAAAGCATGTTGCATATATAAGTTAAGTTAGATTATACATTCAAATACTATGTACAGTTTTATACAAATATTTGTACATCTATTGTGGTCATAGAGACATGCACAAGCTAAGTGAAATGACTTTGAGCAGAAACAGAACCATCCATTCTTACACAATGTCATCGCCCAACACACAGCCTCTTCATTCATCAAACAACACACAGCCTCCTTTTTCAACACATAACACTGCCTCCTTATTCATCACACAACACACAGCCTCTTCATTCATCAAACAACACACAGCCTCCTTTTTCAACACATAACACTGCCTCTTTATTCATCACACAACACACAGCCTCTTCATTTATCACATATTTCTTACTTGAAGACAGTGGTTATGGCTTAGAAAAAGAAAGTGGATAAGAATTACTTCGTTTAAATGTAATTTTGCCTTTAGAAATAAACTTTGCATCCATGCTTTTGATATGCTGGAATGAGAGCTAGACACTGAGTATTACAAATAGAGGCTAATCCATAACTGGCAAGCTTGTGGTGTATCTGGTGTACAGAATTAATGAAGTGTTGGAAAGATACTTTTTTCACGTTTTATTTTTCTTATGGATGAATTATCAAAATGTATGTTTGTAGCTTTTATTTATTTAGCAACAGGGAAGTTCAAGTTAGTGTTCTTGGCATTGTTTAGTTTAGTGTGAACATTTAGGTCCTTCAGTTGTAGACACATTGTTGCATTGATTGCAGTTTAAAAAAAAAAATAGAAAAGGTCTATAATTGAATTGTGTCAAGTTTCTAAAAAAAAAAATAATATTTTCTACTGATGGTGTCAAACACAAGTTTATAGTGAATGCTTTTAAATTTCAGTTAAAAATTATTTTGCTTTAACTATGAATTATACCTAATTGAGTTAACAATGAATGTTGTTTAATTGAGTTAACAATCAGTGGTCTGTTATTTGAGCAAAGTTCCTAATTAAAACAGACACTGATTTAACACATTGTCAGTTGACAGTAAATAAATGCTATCAGTCAATAGTGACGTCTGTCTTGTTTCAAGAAACTTTCTACATACTTTATCCAAAGAAGACACCTACGTATTTTTCCCCTGAACTCTATGTACAGATATGTGACATGAATACAATTATTGAATACATTCTAGATGAATCAAACAATAAATACTTAATATTAAGTGAAGGCCCTATGTAACATAATGCTGTCTGAGTTACTATGAAACTTGATAACTTGGTCGAGTAGAGAAATGTTCTCATGGACCACTTGTAGAAGAGAATATAAGAGCTCCATGTGTGTAGACCGTACTTACTGTTCAATTTAATTCCAATGCCTTGGCGTAGAGAAACATTGAAGTTGATTGAAATTACTCGATCGAATCTGTACAAGTTCATTGTTCACATAAAATGATTGTTATCAAGGATAAGATCTAGTTGAAATCAGCTAGTTCGGTTCAACGTAAAGTTCATCACCTGTCCAAGTAGTGGTTGTTTCAGCGCTGGTTGTCTTACTTGAACTTTGAACTGTAGAAGATAACGTAGTCGTCTCTGAAGTTGTGTCTGGTGTCGCAGAAGTTGTAAGCTCTGCTTCGGTTGCACTTTTTGTGCCATCAACAGATTCGGTTGTTTGCAGCGAAGTTGTGTCAGATGTTACAACTTCTGCCGTTCTCGTCATTGTGGTGTCCTCGAGAAACGTTGATATTTCTGAAGTTGTTGTTTCGGATGTTGAATATGTTGTATCTTCTGTAGTAGTCGCACTTGTGGTGTCCTCAAGAAATGTGGATGTTTCCAATGATGTTCTGTCAGATGTAGCAAAACTTGTATCGTCTGCTAAAGTCGCATTTGTGATCTCTTCAACAAAAGTGGATGTTTCTAAAGATGTTTCATCCGATGTTTCAAACGTTGTAACATCTCTTGTCGTTTCAACAGCATTATCTTCAACAGTTGTGAGTGTTTCAAAAGAGGCACTGTCTTCTACCAAGGTCGTAGACACGTCTTCCACAAGTGTCGGTGTTGTTTCCTCTAGGTTTTTCTCACTTGTCAATGATTCTAGAAATTCTGATGTTTTCAAAGATGTTGTAGTATCAGATGTTGTGTATCTTTCTTCAGTTGTCGTCAATCTTGTCGTTGGCGTCATAAATTTTGTCGTCTGAAATGACGATGTCATTTTTGCTGTAGACATTGTCGACTTTCTGTCGACTTCCTCATTCTTTCCGCCACTATTGATCCCGCATACTATTTCCAGAACATCTAATTTGGCATCCTTTAAATGAGTATAGCTGCTTACTTTGATCACATGCTCATCAACAGGAGCAGTCGCCAACTCTTCAAGTAAGGTCTGATTAATTTCACCTACGGCTACCAAATATATTTTCACTCCCGTGGATTTTAGGAGTTTGACCTCGGCGGCGATCTCTTCCCAATTTTTCTTCTTTCGACTGACTACCAACACTGCTATCTTCCGGCTGTCTCTTGGAACTTGTTGAAACTCCGAAACTCTTAACTTCGTCAGCAGGCTAGAAAATCCGACCTGGTTTCCATTTTTCATATCGTTGAGAGCTTCCTGGAACCTCGTGATCTCTACGAGAGATACTGCGTCTCGGACACACGGTTGAGTAAGTGTCCCGATTCTGATATTTGGGGAGATTCGTCTAGCTTCGTCTGAGAAACGCAACACAAGATCGTCTAAGATCAACTTAGAGGAGGAGATCGTGTTTGGATATTCGTAGGCGAATATAATGTTACTGGAGACATTGAGACATTCTGAAATGGTACAAAAAATGGACATTGAAACTCAGACATTCTTATGTAATGTTAATTCAATCTGGAAGCTATTACGTTATAATTACTTGTGTAAATTAGGCTATAAATTAGTTTAGAGCACAGGATAGTAATGTGATACTTTGTTAATTTTTGGTAAGGGCAAAAGTCAATGGAATGGTCGTGCTAATGATGTTTAGAGGGCGTGAGTCACATTCTCAGCTTTACTTCTCAGTCTTTACTTTTTATTGTTGGTGTTGTTTTAAAGTAATATAATCATTATACACTCTCGCAATAGGAAGATGGGTGACTGGAAGGGAAAAGTTGTCGAAAACCGGGAGCTCGTAAAGTCACGAAACTGGCAGCGAAGTTTATCGAGCTGCCCACTAAAAACGCCTCATGGGTTCAATTTCTATTCACACACACACGCCTTTTTTTTTTTTTTTTTTTTTTTTTTAAATCTGATCCAAACCGATTATATTCGAAGCGGTCAGCACAAAATCGATCAGATCCAAACCGATTTGTTTTTAACATAAATTTGGAATCTATAATAAGAAATATGTTCTATTTGTTACAAGCTTAAGAACATTCAGAACAGGAAGCATATTCTAATCTATAGTATTATTAGTAGTAGTATTACTAGCGGCAATGTGGGTAGGGGTAGACCGGGGTAGATGTGTTTGCAATCAGCTGGCACATGTAGCACAGGACATTGTAAAAACATTCAGAAACATTTATATTATTTAGACTCCAGTTGGCATCAGTGATCAGTTAATATGGCGTTTTTTTTTCTACTGTTTATTTTGTCATATTTCAAGCTCTCTCTATCAAAGCTTATGAAAACTAACTCAATAAGAAATAAATAAAATTAGATTGATTGGGTGTAAGCAGCTCTAAAAAAAAGGAAATGACGTCACTTTACTCGGCAATGCCCTAGCAGCAGACAGATGGGGTTTATCTCAGCGTTTCCATCACACAGAAATAAAGAGCTAAAGATAATACAATCTCTTACTCCTTCAGTTAGTCTACACGTGCTTTAACTCTCCGTTATTATTTTCCCACGTTTCGAAGGAATACTTCTTTTTACTCATGACTATTTCACTTTCCTTTTATGATTAAGCTTCAATAGCTTTGTCGTTTGTAATCAGAAAATGTTTGATTTGGTATAGAATTAAAGGGAATTAGGAGAAAAAAGAGTTAAATTACGCAACGGTTGGCTTAAATGTGACTATGGCTGTTGTAGTTTTCAATGTATATACAAATATAATAGTGTGTAAGTGTATATATGCATGTATGTATGCATGTAGACTGTGTTTGTATGTAAAGTACACTAAGACTTTAAGAGGGTTAAGAAAACTTTTTTTTTGTTTTGTTTTTTAAGTTAGACAATTACTTGCCACTTACGTTGAAGAGTTTGAGGGGCTTTGGTCTGACACAGCTTGTTGGCTATCTGTGTCGTGATCATGGACAGATTGCTAAATGTCTCAATGTGGAAGACGTAGTCATCGTCAGGATCACTGGAGATGTCCGTCAACTCCTTGACGTCCACTTGCTTGCCGACCCCAACAGCGAACATAATGATGCCTCTCTTCTTGGCCTCAGCAGCCTCAGAGGCGGTGTACTCCGGCAGTTGTGACAGCCCATCAGTTAAAGTTATAATAATTTGTACGGCGTCCTTCCTGGCTTGGCTCGGACCGAAGCCGATGTTCGATACGAATTTAATGGCATCTCCAGTGTTGGTCGACCCGGTCAAGTATTCAATGTGCTCCGGTTGAAGAGATGCTAGAAGGGACTTTTTGTCAGCGAACGATGACAGGTTGAAATTGGGGTGGGCCTATTTAAAGAAAGAAAAAAAAAACCTAGCCATAAGTTTATTACCAATGAGCAAAGATGACTGGGATGTAAATGAGTCGAGAACTTTTTTTTTTTTTTTTTTTTTTGCATGTTTGTTTTCGTGATATAAAAATTTAAATATTTATTCAAATCTAATTAGTTTGTAGTAAATAAAATTAAACCACTTTGTAAAAGGAAATTACATCTCCTCTAATGCATACTAGCCATTAAGACATTTGAGATTGTCAGGCAAAATTAAACAATGTCAAGGACGCTTTAATATTGCTAAGTAAATAAAAGTAACAAATAGAAAAGCCACGAGAAAAGCATAGATTAAAATACTATTCCTCAACTGTTAAATTTCTAAGAAAATAGAGCCAACTTCGAGGGACCATGTCTACCAATGACAATAGAGAGCCAACTTCAAGGGACCATGTCCACCAATGACAATAGAGAGCCAACTTCGAGGGACCATGTCCACCAATGACAATAGAGAGCCAACTTCGAGGGACCATGTCCACCAATGACAATAGAGAGCCAACTTCGAGGGCCATGTCCACCAATGACAATAGAGAGCCAACTTCGAGGGACCATGTC